AGTCAAATGTGCTACACACCCATCTACCACCGAAACCTCTACACCCTTACTTCCTGCATACCACATAAACAGAACAGTATTTCCTGCTTTGGTGCAGGTTGAAAATCGTGTGCTGCAGAATCATCCTATATGAATGTCATTATCAGGCTTACTGGGCTGCAGCTACAGGCCACTCTGAACTGTTGTAGATACTTGTGTAATCCCTTACTCAGATATAGAATTCAATAGTTCGTCCAAATCACAAAAAAGCATATTTAAACATGTCACACATTCATTATTGTCAACATATCTCATGAAAAGACCAAAACCAACAATGCCTAAGTCCATCTCTCAATATTTTCCAACTTAAAAAGGGGGAATACACATGATTTTTTAAAAAAAGGATAAATAATTTCCTAAATCAGCTTTGCACTGTAGTTTTTAATAAATGTTATTTAAACTGTAGTAAATAGTATATTTGTTGGGCACTATTTTCATCTGCGGATTTGGTGTTTTAGTGATTATTTACAGCAGCAGTACTGGACCCGAAATAAACTACAGTGCTTGTTGATTATAATTATGGGACATGTTACTCACAGTCAGAGCTGGCAAAAGTACACACATTCTTTACTCAAGTAGAAGTACAGCTACAAGGAGATTTTAAAAAAAAGACGCAGGAAAAAGTAGAAGTACTGATTCAACTTAAAGTAAAAGTAAATAAAAAGTAAATAGTAAAAAAGTACAGACTCTGAAATGTACTCAAAGTATAAAAGTAAAAAAAACACTCTTTTGGTTTCCCTGAAGGACATTTCTACCGGTTGTTTCTGTGCAAAGGTGAACTGAAACTTCAAATAGGGTAGAGTCTCCCTCTCTGTTTAGTTGTTTTCTGTGTTTTCACTGTGTTACATCCGTGATATGCACCGGTCTTGATGTTGGGAAGGCGTGCAAAGATGCAAAACCAATAAATAAATAAATAAATAAATAAATGATCGCTAATTGTCCTCAAATGAATTCAAACTAAAGAACGAAGCCTGTTTTGTAAATGTAAAGGAGTAGAAGGTATAGATAATCGCAAAGTATTTGTACTTTGTAACTTCCCACCTCTGGCAACAGTGTGGGTTATTGGTGGGTTTTTAGTATCTTTTGGACAACAATGGAGATCTATAGCACAGAGAAATAAGATAAAATCAGTAAAATGACTTGTTAATCAGTGTGGTTTCAGAGTTTTCATGGGATTTTTTTGACAATAACTGAAATTAACGTTCATCACTAGACTTATCCTTTGATATATGTGTTGAATGTTGGTGTGGATCTGTAAGAGATTTAACAGTTTGTGTGATTTTTGTTTCCATATTTGAAATAAACAAATATGTCTTTACCTGAACCTCTCCTGTCCTGCAGTGTCCCAGATCTGTAGTTTGATTCTTTTGCCCGGCTCGATCTCCACCAGGCGGGAGAAGAAGTCCACCCCCACCGTCGGGTCTGACACCTGGGCGAAGCGGCCCTCAGTGAACCTCCGGATCAGACACGACTTGCCGACCGTGGAGTCTCCGATGACGATCAGACGAAACTGATAAAGCCATATAGTCTCCATGTCTCACCAAAATAAAACCTGTAAGAAAATAAAACAATTCAGTGAGCTTTCCATATAAGGACTTCAAAAAGTCTTGTTTTCTTTGACCAACAATCCAAAACCCAGAGAGTTAAATTGGAGGATTTTGTTTGAAAAAGTACTGAAACGATGAATCTCTTATCTTATTTCAGCTGTTGTCCTTCAACTAATCAATTAAGTGTTTCAACTCTAATCAATATTACTACATATTAGATTGTTTTGGCCAGATCTTATGCATCTAAGCCTTTGAAGAGGAAAGTAAACAGCTGAAAAATAGCTGAAGACTGAGCTTTATGTGCTCATGATGCTTTTAAGAAAACAAAACTGTGCACTCTGTCTCACAAAATATGGTCTTGTTGACCTTCAGCAGCAGTTTTCCTCAATAACAAAACCCATCCTTTAAAGTGTAGGGTAAGTGAGGAAAAATAAAAAAATATGTTTCATTTGTAGATATTTTTATATACATTCTTTTGTCTCACAATTTTAGAGGGAAGAAAATGAAACAACAGCTTCAACACACTTTAAAGGTCCGGTGTGTAGGATTTACAAGCATCTAGTGGTGAAGCTGCAGATTGTAACTAACGTCTTGCATCTCTATCTGATGAACTGGGAATGAGAACGGGCTTTGAAGTGTGCAGGAGAAACTATGATGGCAGGAAAACTCGCAAAAAGCATGAAAGGCCCTATCTAGAGCCAGTGTTGTTTTGTCTGCTCTGGGCTACTGTAGAAACATGCAGGTTCAACATGGTGGACTCCGTGGAAGGCGACCCTCCGTGGAAGGCCATTAAACTGCTCATTATATAAGGTAACAAAAACAACACAACGATTCTTATTTCCAGGTGATATCATACATATGAATATTATATTCAATTTCTGCCAATAGATCCCCCTAAATGTTACACACTGGACCTTTAAAGCTTCCACGATCAGCGAGAACAACAACAGAATGAGACACAGATGTGTTTAAATAGATTGAAATGGACATTTAATCCACAGTGTTGACCACATGATTAATTCATGGATTATGGCCGCCATCATGAGGAGAGAGTAACAGGCTCAGATCATCTCAGCAGTGTCCATGTGATTTACTGTTGGGTGATCTAATTTGAGGGGAAGAAGGGAGGGAGGGAGGGAAGGCCACTCCTCTCCATCTCAATAAACATTGGCGTAGTCAGCCCCCATGTGGATAGTAGGCTGGTTGCTATAACACACAATGAGACCTTGAAGCTAGCCAAATAGAAGCTTATTGAAGAGAGAGCAGATAAACATGGCTGCTGGTTGATAAAAGGATATGTACTACCGCTTTCTAGAAGGCCACCGGTGACACTCAGGAGATATTCCACAAAGTTTGTCAAAAATTAGGATTATATTGTTTCAATCATGAGGCCCAGCCCACTTAGCCTAATCCCAGCATGAGTATTATTCACTTTAATGATTAATAATGAGGACAACAATCAAATAAAAATCAGTAAAATAGTTACCTACCTTAAAGTTAAGAGCTCAGTAGCTGTAAAAAGCAAACCCCATATCCTCGATTATGTCTTCTAAAAATGTCCCTCCAGAGAAGCAGTGGTTGTGTTATTGCTAAGAGAAATAACCCGCACCAATAACATGCATCATATTAACTAGGCCTCTTGTCCACCATCAACATTGGACCCGTTCATTTACGGATGAAATCAGACTGTTGGGTGTGAACACCGACAGATGAGCCGAGCTGCAGCTTAATCTGAGCAGGACTGTTGATATTTCCGAGAGGATCCGCGGATGAAATGGCAGCAGGACACAACAGCAGCATCTCTCTCTCTCACACACACACACACACACACTCACACTCACACGCCTCTCCTCTTCGCCCTCATCAGCACCATTACCGTAACTGCACACACAGCGGCGCAGCAGCACTCCTCAGGCTGCTGCTGTCTTCAAAGGCTGTAAGAACAAAAAAACTGTAACTACAAAGTCAGCGCACATGAATATGTTTACTCTCATTATTTTTTATTTAGATCCTTATTTGGTATAAAAATCATTAAATTATTAATTAAATCATAAATAAATTGTTTTCTTTATTCTAAACCAGAAAAATAAATGTTTTTTTTCATCTCAGCAGTGTCTCTAATACTCCAGGAAATCAAGAATATAGATTAGATCCCAGCAGCTATTGTCCACAAATGTATAGTTAGCTGCTTAATTGTTTTATAGAAGAATAAGATTTGAAGAGAAAATCAAGAAAACATAAAAACGAAACCTGATTTAACAAATAATAATCTTAAAACTTTAAGATCTATTCATAGTATCCTAAACATCCACACTAATGTTTCATGGGGATGCAATGTTGAAAATACGATACAATAAAATGCTGTTTACTTGTTAATGCATAGTGACAATAATCCAACAATGTAATAACACTCAGGAAGGGGCCATTTTGTGTAGTAAGTTTGACTTTTGATGTATATTTTGCATCAGAAACACTTATTTTGAATACATGACTATTACCTCTAACAGAGTACGTGTGAACTGTGGTACTGATACGTTTATTTAAAGAAAAGTCCTGACCCTATCCAAGAAAATGCGTGACAAACTGCGAAGCTAATTTTCTTTACGAGGAGCAGTTGAACGCACCACCAGTCGCTGACAGTGAAGTGAAGGGTTTCAGTCTCAGTCATGTGTGATTAAACGGGAGGACTGCAATGATCACAGGCGATCTTGACCGTAAATCTCGATGATATTGGATCATAAAACGATTTTACTTATTGCACTGGACGGAAGAAAATGTCCCACTAAGGAAGAAAAAACAACTGTCCTTGACTTAACTAACTTATAGTTGCCAGTATTTGTTGCCATACTTGTGCAGCAGCATCCTTTATACAGTTTCTATCACTCTCTCTCTCTCTCTCTCTCTTCTGAAGAGCTGCAGCCATGCAGCAGGAGCTTTTGTTCAAAGTCCTGGTCATCGGGGACTTAGGGGTCGGGAAAACCTCCATCATCAAGCGGTACGTCCATCAGATCTTCTCCCAGCACTACCGAGCCACCATCGGGGTGGACTTCGCCCTGAAGGTGCTGCAGTGGGACAATGACACTGTGATCCGGCTCCAGCTGTGGGACATAGCAGGTCTGTTGAACTTTAACGACCCCCATAGTATACCCTCCCCTGGTTTACAGACGTATTATGTGTCAGGTGATTGTTAAAACTATGCATGTAGATCAGTACTAGGATTTATTTCTCTGTAGACAGTGGAACAGTGTGTGTTTTGGGATATTTGGAAACAAAAACCTTTTGTTTCACCTTCAGCAGCTGTGAGAACCTGTAAGCTGCTTTCTGGAAATAGGCTTTTTGAAATCAATCAGAGGTCAGTTTTAGTAAGGTAGGAGCATGTGGAATACATTTAGACATTAGAACTATGGTATCTAGATAGTACTGCAAAACATCTGCAACTTATCAAGAAGTTTAAAAAGTCCTAAGATTCAAGTTTTCTACCAGTGCAGTTAGATTATAATGACCGGTTTCCAACACAATCAGCTCCTTTCAAGAGCGTCAGCACAACAGAATAACATACTGCTGCACTAGAATACAAAAAAAATACCTTTTAACTTTTCAACTTTTACTAATACACAAACAGGACTTGATAAGATGAAGATTTGTGCAGTGATGTGAATTCCCAGTGAGAGTGCGTGTGTGTGTCCACTGGATGCCTGGGTCCCTCCCTGTCATTTGAAGCCTGGCCGAGGAATGTGGATCTTGTGCCTGGCTGTGACTCAAGTGATCCCATGCACATAATATCAGTCACATGATGGTGGCTACTGTAGAATACACACACACACACACATACACACAGAAATGCACACACAAACACACACTCCCTGTATTTGTCACTAATAAACCGTGCTGTGAGTGGATTGGATTTTACAGACTTGATGTGTGTGTGTCTAATGGCTGTCCATGCGTCCCAGGACAGGAGCGGTATGGGAACATGACTCGTGTCTATTACCGGGAGGCGGTGGGAGCGCTGATGGTGTTTGACGTGACGAGGGCCTCCACGTTTGACGCTGTGCTGAAGTGGAAGGATGATCTGGACTCCAAGGTCAGGCGTCAAACGTTGACCCAACATCCAATAGAGAAGCTCAAACTGAGGCCTTTCTCCCCTGTTGTTCTTATTCTTTATTCTTATTCTGCCCCTTTCAGAGGTGTAAAGAAACAGCTGACTACAACCCCCACACTACAACAATTTGTGATAAAGATACAGTTAATGTTAGGGTAGTGTCATTGGTATGGTTAAATGTTTATCTCACAGATACTGGACCACGCACATTTAAATCTAGATTCATTTAATAAGAATATTTTAAGGGACAAATTCAAAATTGAGATTACGCTAACAAAGGATTCTGGGATACGGGTATCTCACCTGGTAGAGCTGGTGCACCATGTACCAAGGCTGAGTCCTCGCTGCAGCGGCCATGGGTGCAACTACGACCTGTGGCCCTTTGCTGCATGTCATTCCCTCCCTCCCTCTCTCTCTCTCTGTTCGCTCTTTCCTGTTGCTATTCAGCTGTCACTATCGATTAAAGGCAATTAAAAGAAATATATATATTAAAAAACAGAAAGGATTCAACTGCTGTTTGAGGCAAACGTATGTGCTGACAGTTCTAAGAAACAGGACTCTATAAAACAGTCCCTCCAGGAAGTTGTGATTGCAACAATTAACACAAATTCAACCAATCCCTGTGAATTCTGTGCGAATTTCCAATTTTGTCCAATTGTTTTTACACAAATTTGACCAACCATTGTATTTTCCAACAAGTTTCACAAAAAGTTGAGCCATACTGCACCAAACTACTGAGGATTTTATTCTCCCTGGAACAAGTTGCCTTAAATTTTTGATGAATTATACACACACACAAAATGTCATTGCCAAAAAGCCTAAGAACATCGCAATATGACTTGCAGTTTTTTAGAAAAAGTGCTGTGAAATTTTGGGCCACAGAAATAAAAAAGCTACAAAATCAAAAACTACAAAAAAGTAGTTGTTTGAAAAACACTAACTGCAATGCCTAAAATCTGTGTAAGGTGACATCAATAGCCTACACAGCAGCACCTGCATGTTTTCCAACCAAACTCGTCTGTGATTGTTCTGTAATGCTACTGAAAGGGAGAAAGAGGCAAACAATACAACACTGGAACTGCTTAAGGTCAACCAAAGTGCGTGTCCGATGCCTCTAAAACTCAGTCTTTTCACACCTCTTTGACGTGAGAACTGGAGAGGTGTGACAATTTCTGTAAAGGCATCAATATGCTCAAAAAGAACTAGTGCGTACTACAAGTTGTACGACTCATGTATGAAGGTAAAAGTGTTTAAAGCTGATCTGAACATCCAAACTTGAAGATGGAATAAAACACAGATGTCAGAGACTGACGGAATATGTACGACACTTTACTTTGTTCTGTTTAGAAGACAATTTGTACCTAAAGATACATAAACAAGACTATTTCACAACACATTACTATTAAAAAGTAAGCTACATTATATTACAGTATGTACAACCATCATGTAACCCCGTCTTTCTTCTCTCCTAAGGTAACCCTGAACCACGGGAGGCCAGTTCCAGCTGTGCTCTTGGCCAATAAGTCCGACCAGCTGGCTTCCCAGCAGCCGAAACTCGACTCCTTCTGCAGGGAGAACGGCTTTGTTGGCTGGTTCGAGACCTCTGCAAAGGTACGAGAGGGAAGACTCTCGTGACATTTAAAGTTAAATTGAGTTAATATTGGCACTAATATTTTCCACAAATGATTTAATATACTAGTGATTAGACAGGTTAGGCAGCTTTTTTTGATTAAAAATGCTGTTGTGTTGTATAGGGGCTTGACTTTAGGCAAATACTAAAAGATCATCATTTGTGGTATACATCATTCACACAGTCAAGTCAACTACATATTTAACGGGCTAAAATAATACCAATGATATTACAGCACACTGTGAAAAGAAATGACTCAGAAAATTACTGTGCAAACACTAAAGGTTAGAAAACATTATTTGCTGTGCTCTCAAGAGACAAATAGAGGAATGTCTGCAGTCTGGTGTGAATTAGCCTTCTGTTTTTTCCCTCCTATCCAGAGCCCGACTAATGAGTTACACACCAGGGTGCAAGTCAGAGACAGTAGCGTAGTAAGCGAACATGAAGGAGCCTCGGCAGACAGGTCGGACAGATCAGGAACAACAGAAACAATACAGTTTCTAACAGTGTGTGACATCCTCGTTTCTCATTAGCTTAGTGTGTCAGAATGAAAAGGGAGATAGTCAATTAAGTCAAAATCTGACTTTTTGATGTGATGCGTTTTCCATTCCCGCTATGGTAAGGGTTGTGTAGTGAAACATTCACTCTGTGCTATTGAAGCAAGACTTTTGCAAGAAGAAATAGCACAACATAATGCATCTTAGGAAAGAAAAGCTGAATTCTGAAGAAACAAATCACCTCCTTGACCCACTTGGTGCACTGGGTCTGATATGACTTGTGCTTCTGTCACACTGTGTTTCAACATGATAGATAAAGATTTTAATGGTTTTATTGCTAAAGTAAAAGTACATTTCTTGGCCTTAACAAGACTAAGAGTCTACAGCAATGCTGACACAGGAGCACTTTGAGCTAAAAGCTAACATGAGTATGCTCACACAATGCTAACATGTTAATGTTTACCGTGTCCATTATCTTAGTTTAGCCTGTTAGCATGCTGCAGCTGAGGCTTGTGCAGGTATTCTGTAGCAAATTTAACAGCAATCCAACTAATAGTTGTCTAAATGTTTCACTCTGAACCACAAAGGTCACTTTCATGGTGGTGCTAGAAGAGAAGTCAGGGAATATAAAATATGTCAAATTCATCAAGTGGTTGAGATATTTCACTCCAGGCGAAGGTGGTGAACTGAACAACCGACAGTGGCCATCCATAAAGCCACGCCACTGATGTTGCTACATGATTTCTTTTTCTTCTTTCCTCCAGGAAAACACAAACATCGAGGAGGCAGTGCGCTGCTTGGTCGAGCACATCCTGAACAACGAGGAGAGCCCGATGATAGAGCGAGACCCCAGCAACCTTGTCCTGTCTGGGTACACTAACACCGCAAAGGATCATCTCAACTGCTCGTCATGTGTGAAATGGTGACTCCTGACCAATCACAGACAACCAGGAAGTGAACAGCTGTGAGGCCACGGCCACAGAGATACGTTTGGCTCAGGGACTGTTTGTAAAAGAAAAACATCGCCTTAGCCCACAGTGAGCTTTGTACCAATGTTCATCGGCTGTGCTCACACTGCAGGCCAACATGATGTGATTATACACTAATGAAAACATACCTGTGAATATTAAATTCCATTTCTGCCAATAGATCATCCTTTGATTTATATTTCACAACTATGGAAAACCCACATTTATTTAATCTTTTTTTGCCATGGGAATTGTACAGTCTTATTTTATTTTATTCTTTGGTAATTAAAAAGATCTTTAAAGTAATTACATTTGCACATGAAAACGGCATATTTTTTGTTACATTCTATGACATAACCTTAATATATTATCAATATAAACTTACAGTAGATGATATGTACAATTTTGAACCTATATTTTCCTTCTTTGCCTATTATTATTATACATATATGACATTGTGCCTTTGACATTTGTCTGAACTGACAGCTCCTGACACTTTGGTCTGCAGTGTGAACACAGACATAAAAACATGAAGCTTTCTTGCATTCTTTGCACTTTTCCTCGGGCCATCATCATGCAGTCTACTATTAGGTCAGTGGACAAGACAGAGTAAAGTCTTTAAGAGATGTGAAAACAGCTAAGACTGCAAATGCTGGAAATGTCTACAGAGTCGTAAATTCCATGCATATTGTGGAGCTGATTTTGACTGTATTACAAGCCATCCAGGTCCTGAGGTGCATTTTTATTAAAGTTTAATCAAAATGTAATCATTTGTGTGTTTGTGACAACTATCAACACAATTACAATCATCAGCCTGTGGAGTGTATAGAGGGAAAAGGTTCAGTAACACTTGAGGAGAGATGTGACGTTTGTGATGAAATACACTCATTATCTTTCTGGCAGGGAGAAACGGGGAGAAACAGCTAGCCTGGCTCTGTCTGAGCAAAAAAAACGCTCACAAATTAACACGTTATATTTCGTTTGTTTAATGCACATAAAAACCAAAGTGCGAAAACAACATGGAAACATGGAATGTGGCTTTTGTTACTTTTTGACAGAACCAAACTCACTGTTTCCCCTCAGTTTCCAGTCACCATATTAAGCTAAGCTAACTAGCTGCTGGCTATAGTCTTATATTCTACAGACAGATATGAGCATGGTCTCAATCTTATCATCTAAAGCTCAACAAGAACGTGTATTTCTCTTTTTTGTTTTGGTGAAACACATTTTTTGATATCCTTGTGCAGAGTCAGATGTTCAGTAAGCAAATGATTGAAATCTTAAAATCTCTGTACTGTAAAAGGTAACATGTGCTGACTGCCCATGGTCTCCTGCCCTATTTTATCCCCATGATCCTCAGCATTAGTTATCACAGTCAAATCATTGTTATTACCAGGCTTTGAATCGACTAACTATCCTCCATCTGTCATTACAAAGGTCATATTATCCATCTGCAGGGGATCACAGCCTTATTTCTTTGCCAGTGTTATATAGGATGAATCCTTTAATGTAACATTAACACTCAGCAGCTGAAGGATATGCCATGGTTTAAAGTAAAGATATTTACTTTTACCCTGGGTCAAAAACTGAAGGACTGGAAAATCTGTTCTTGCATGCAATCCAAAAAACGAAACAAGAATCCCTTGCAGTCAGAAATACACATAGATGTTGTGGAGATAATGCAGGAGAGGCAGTTTAGCATTTATGCCCATTAAAGGAACTATTCAGTGAGTTGATAAAAGGCTGTTAGTGGTTTGAGATTTAGGAATAGCAGCAGTAAAGTGTAAAACACTTTACAACATCTGTGTTTCTTCCACTGCTACTCTGTCTTTTCATGAAACACCATAGAATCTCCTTACAGTTAAGCGCTTATTTCTATTTTATTATGTATGAATGTACGGCTTCAGTCTATAATTGTTGACATTTCATCCTCCAAAGGTGAATATTTCACTCTAGATATAAATAACTTTGATAGCAAACCTGACTCGCTGTCTACTACCAGCTCTATTGTTGGTATGAGACACTTTCTTCAACACTGAAATCAATTTCTTGCCAGTCAAAAACATGGTATGTGCTGCTCTTTTCAGCGCACTGATTACAGAACAGCTGCCTTTGTTGAGTCTGCCTCGAGTGTTATTTGAAATTCCATGTTTTCAAATTAGGCATCTGCTTTATATTTGACTTCACTCCCTTTGATGTGTAATAGTGTGGCCTTGTAATGCAACACATTTGTAACTGCATTCTCTGACACCAGACTACATGCAATAAAAAAAGGTATTTGTGACGCCGTAAACTGCGCAGTATGTTTTCAGCAGCATGTCAGAGCCTCACAGCTCAGGACACGTTTCGCCTTCAAAGTCTGGAAATCAGCCTTGACACTGACTCGATTCTTGACTCTGATCTCCAGGTTGGATAGCCCCCAGTTTGTGCCTCTCATAGCGTGCACTCCAGTTACCCTCAAAGTTAACTGGCGGTTTTTGAAAAACCAGTCTCCAAAGACTCCCCTAACCATCAAGATAAAAAGGATTTTTCACCTGTTTCCCACATTTGTTTCTGAATCAAAACAAAGATGCCCTCAAGCCAACAACAGGGAAAGTCTCAAGTTGGGAAACAGGTTAAAAGTCTTTTATTGTGCCGCAGACAGATATTTTTTCCTCCAGTTAGAAGAATCCTTGAATAGGGTTAAATGTGAACAGTTGGTCGAACAAAAAAATACATTTTGAGATGTCAGCTTGAGTTTTAGGAAATTATAACATTTTTCTGTATTTTTTTATATTACAAAGAATTAAATACAGATTAATGGATAATAAAATAATAGTTACTGTCCTAGAGAGCACTGTCTCCTACTGTAAACCAAAGATTGCACATAAGCCTCAAATTTGCCATTAGGAGCAGTGACCTCACTATAACCACAGCTTTAGAAAAAGTCCCTATAAGAACATTTTTTGGGTTGTGTAAGTTTAAGAGAATGTTTCCATGTGGTTTCCAGAGTACATTTCATTACAGTTCCACAGGCACTTAATGTAATATTAACATAATATTCTCTACTGTAATAATATGTGGTTCCTATAGAACATTTTCAAATTACCTGAACCTTTAAAACCCCTCGTCAGATGTTGGTCTTTAAAATGAAGCAGGAAGCATCACTGAATGCTCCCTGATGGTATTTACTAAACCATGAAATGTCACTTAGACACATACTGGGAATGTCGTCGGAACTAAATGAATCAAACTGGAACGGCCCTGGAAATTTATTTTGAGACTACAAGAAATGTCTCCATATGGGGAGCTTCACAGCAGTGTTACAGGCTGGGATTTCATTATGGTACCGTAATTAAACGCAGTAAAGCACATTCATATATAGGAATATTGTTTTTTAGGATTATTAAATGTGATGTAATTTTAAAAAACTATAAAAATAGGGTACAACGGGTCCCCACAGACACATTTCCAGCCATTATGAAACAATAGGATTCACACAAATGAAACATCTTGGGTTGATATTGTCATTTCCCTCCCTATATGTCATTTCATTGGCCAGCAGGTAATCAGGGAGAGTTTGCACATCACACTCTTAAGTCCTCCACATGCACCGAGGTGATGAACCAGCTGATGCCTTTGCCTTGACAAAAAAATAAAAATAAAAAATAAATCCGGGGGCAGCCTTCTGCTTTAAGATGCCCTCCCCCGGACCCGAGAAGTGGCCCAATCGCCCTCCTTTCCCAGTCACCTGATTCATGTACTGCCATTTTACACACAAGTTTGACTGACAAAAAAAACTGGCCTATCGGCAACCTCAACACAGAAAAATACACCCTTTTGTAAGAAGATTAAAAAGACTTGTGGGGAGGTTGGGAGAGAGGGGGATAAAAAAATGACATATATTTATATTTATATATATCAAAGCGGCTGAGGTTAGATGCAGCCAGCGCGGGGTGCTGTGTGGATCAGAGAGGTGTTTGCGGTCGGATCTCTGCATAGATTCAGAGGAGAAACCGGGAGAAGAAGAAAAAGGGAAAAGGACAATGCTTTTATATCGTCTTTGAAAAATGAGCCTTCAGTCATAGGGGATGCCGCATAGATTTGATGATAATCACCGATAGGCTTTTTTCCGATTATTGCCATCTTTACTTGGGATTCAGCGCTCGTACCGGCATCTCACCCCTTGGACGCAGCTATTTCAGGGACACATTGACTGTACATTGTCTTATATTATTATTATTCACCAAGCTGCTTTTGATGCTCTGATCAGGCGATATATTGATTTCTTGCAGCCCTTTTCCCCCCCTCCCTCCCTTCATACAGGCTAATATCTTAACCCTGCAGCTGGCTCATCCCGATGCCGTCGACTGAATATTAAACGCTGGATGTGACCGTCTTATGTTTTATTTGGCCGCCGCATGAATTCTCCCACCGGATCCTCGCCGGTGAACGCTGCTGTCCTCCTCCTCCTCCTCCTCTTCCTCCTCCTCCTCCTGCTCAGACGGCCGATTCTCGCAGAGGGCACTACCCTCCTCCCTGCCGCTAAAGACATTTTGATCGTCCTCCCCGGTTCCCCCCACCCGGACTCGACCATCACTCCGCCTGCCTCCTCGTCCACCACCACCACCTCCTCCTCCTCA